GGCCGTGCATCGTATATCTGGGCCTTCACTGCTGTCCTGCAGCTGAAATACCACCGTATAACCACATGATGGCACCACAACGATTATTTGTTTCTAAGGCTGTAACTATGTACGTATTCGTATTAAACCGTTCGGTGCGAGGCTTACAATACGTTTGAACTAGATCATCTGGAAAATGCAGAAGCTTAAATTCAGGAAAATATAATGTTTTCTGCGCTCATGTAGGACAGTGGTTCTCAGCTGGTCTGGCTGTGGGACCCACCATCATTCCTTAATGACAAGCCGCAGCCTGTTCGTCTCTTTCAAAGACCATTTTATGATTTCACTTTCACAACTTGAACATTAAACGTACTGCTCTGCTATCTCTTTCCTCGTCTCAGTCCCCTGTGTCACGGTGTGTGTACATCTCACTGGAGTCAGGAAACTTATCAGAATGCCCATATTTGATTGGCTGAGCTGCATCACGTGATGTGATTCACTACCCGACTAAGCCTCTGCTGTTAAGTTTTGTTTCACGATAGTCACGTGCTCGCCAACTGACCAATCACAGCACACGCTGTACCTCACTACAGAGCTGCACATGGACACTGAGCTGCATGTAATGCTGACGTACTTGTAGGCCAGCTAGCAGGCTCTGACACGTCAAAGAATACGCCCAACATGTCAAACTAAAGATCTGATTGGTTGAACACTATGATAATCAACAATATCGTCCCCATTCACTTACACTGCAAAGGGATTCACTTGTGAGTCTGCAGGCCTCAGGCCTCTCTTCTTACCTAGAGACACAGAGGTGAGATCTGATTGGATAAAAGCTCTACTTAAAACAAGCTGCACTGGAAGCAGAGCAACTGAGGAAGACAGTAGCTGTGCAATGAGAACATAAGATAATGGGGAAAATATTTGTATAAATTATAATACATGTAGTGTATTTAAGAAAAATTATAAATTAGCTATAACTTTGCGATTCTGTTTAGGCCAGCAGAGAAGGACTTGCTGGCTCTGACAGCCCACCACTGTTCAACGTGAACGTTTAATCAACGTCTTCAAATAGTCGGTGAAACTTCACAATGCTCTCAGTAAGATATGTAGCAATTAGATACGTAGTCATAGTAACACATCAAGAGTTTCCACGTTCAGGACAAAGAAGACCGAGTGACACAATTCATCTGTATTTATAAAGCAACAGAAATATAACATGAACAGTGTTTTTTATATACAACTACGATGAAGTAGAAAATACACAACTCTCCCTTTACTTCTTTAAATGTCTCTTTTAAAGCCGCTCTCAGATGCTCTGCCATATTTATGGTGGAAGTATGAAGTAAAACATAATAATAATGGTGCTCATTTGCATTATTGTAATAAAGTAGTTCAAGTACTAACAAAGTATGTCGTTAGCGTTTATTCCGTCAGCTCATTCACTTCGCTCCTCCGGACCAGTGCTCCACTCAAAGCTGCAGAGGATCTCTGAGCCTAAACATCTGCGCATGTGTTCCAGCAGTAAACACTCATATTTTATTGTACAGACAGAATGTACTCTTCTCGCATCACGATGTCCTGGGAGCTTCTTGTTGGCAGCACACAGTCTATTGTTCCATATTTATGACGTCAAATGCTTTCAATCACGTCGTCGTGTTGATCACATTCATCACCAACTCTGCAGTTTCCCTCCACAGGAGCCAAAAGTCGGCCCTACTGCTCACTAGCAGACTGCAGACGGACTCAGACGAGACTAGCTGGTGACCAGACGGAGCATTTAGCAGCTAAAGAGTTTTACTCAGGAGGTGGAGACCAAAAACTGAGCTACAAGAGAGAGAATGTTGGCATTATGATAAAAACACAACTCCAAATAAATGATAATGCTGACGTATGAATTGGCATCCGTTTGCTGATGCATGCAATTTCTTAGAATAAATGAATGCAGAGTTAAACCAAAGATTTGACATTTGCTGTCCTACTGTTCACATCACATTCAAAGCCACTCTGAGTATGAAAGTGGGCAGCATTAGTCACTGTGCTATAATAGGACCAGGGACTGTATGAACGTTATGTAGGTGTGGTGTCTCACATTTTAATCATTGGTAAATTTCATTCAACTCAGTGATGCACAGCCGTCATCTCCCACATGTCTGATTCTGTGACACGCGTCACGTAATCGGTTTGATCATGATGGAAGAGTATCAGCGTATCAGCAGTGGCGGACCCACGCTGTCTGAGGGCAAGGGTTAAAGAAAAGAAAGGTGGGGCACCAGCACACAGCTCCACTAGCATGTAGCAGCCTGCGTCGTCCTGCAGCAATTCTCTCCCCTGGAAGGACCCCTCAGAGAGCACTTCATCACGTTTTCTCCAATTGAATAATCAAAATAAGAAACCGCTTGTATCTCACCATTTTTGGTTTGTCATTAATGTACATTTGTGAGATGTCATGGGGTGCATCCATAAGACATATTAATCACAATGGGGAGGGTCTTTCCTTTTTAAAATAAAGATTCAACACAATTTGTTCTCCTTTTTAATTAAAGAATATTCGCAACAGAAGAATGAATGATCTATTATACTTTCAACAAAATAGAAAATACAATTACTGACAAAATCCAGGCATATAGTCAGAGTCAATGAAAGTTTCCTTCATGACCATAAATGATTGATTCATCCTTAGAAGTTAGCAGAAAAGCCTGTTGACGTATTAAAGCTCGAGGTTCATGGGGGTTGTGGGTAATGTTCCACTCTGCCTTGGCAGTGTGATGAAGCATTGTTTGTATTGGACCTGATGAAGAGGCTGAAGCCTAACTGCCGCTGATGGAGCCCACAGCTGTTTGCATCAGCATCACGGAGCCCAGAATAGAGCCCAGATAGCTGCTGTTGAAGCTGTGTTAAAGTCAGCAGCAGGAATAATGCTGACAGGCTGTCAGGCCCGCAGATGGCAAATATGGAACAAATCACTGGACTGCACATACGTACATGTTTTCACTAAATGTGGAGATTACTGCTGGGATGAGAGCCAAAAGAGGGGATGTGCTGATCCCTCAGTGTTGATGTTTTATTCAACGATACAGCGGTGACACCACGATCTCACAAACACGGAACACATAAATGGAATCCATTTCCCATAACCCTTTGCAACCTCACCCTATCAGCAAGCCCTGTTAGGCACAAACACACTCACTGAGATACATCATCATTCCAACAGAAGACAGCACTGTTTCCAGTATACAAATGGATTGTAATGGCGGCAGCGGTACATCCACCGGCTGTGTGGGACTATGACCTACAGCGGGTTCCATGATGCACGTCTCCGTGTGCAGCAGCAGCTCCACCTGCTGGCTTTCCTCGTGCCACATGGGATTCATCACGCTTCACTCACGCACTAGCTGCTTCTAACCCAGGATGAAATGTGGTGCGATCTTCATGAGCTCCGATGCTAACAGCATCATGAGGATGTGGTGCAGTTTTTCTCATCCGCTTTTCCTCAATTCCTACATGAGAACCATTTATTTTCATTATAAATTCAAATCTCTTAACAATGACTGTTTCTAATTTGTTCAGCTAATTGCAAGTGTTTTGGCTCAAGTGTGCAAAGAGCCAATCAGAACTGATGAATCGACATCTTCTGTTCGATGTCTAAGAATTTACATGAAAGATCAACGGTGATCTCCTGTCTACAGTAGTTGTGACACATTGCTATTGCTACACAGTCTTTTATATAAACTGCATCCCACTTTTACACAGAACACCAAATAAATAACTTTCTACATGCCAACTGCACACTGATGTGATAAACATTTAGCACTGAGTCTGCTGTACATGAGCTTCAAACCAGTTATTGTGTCAGTAGATCATGTGAGCTGTACGGGTCAAAATGTAAACGCTTACTTGAAAGACTAGAACAGACAAATTTGTGTAGCAATGAGTCACTACTGTCAACAGGAGATCACCTTTGATCTTTCATGTAAATTCTTAGAGCAGATGATGTGCTGCAAAATGACCATGCAAAAAATAAACAAAAACCTGCAGCAGTTCAGTAGCAAACGAGTTGCACCTCCTCACAGTACGCAACACCATGCCATAGGTATTTATGGAATATACATGTATATCTGACAAATTGACAATTGCATGAATCAGTTTGTGACCCTCAAACCATGAAAGGTTTAGAAGTTGTGACGATAGTTTCTCTGAGAATGAATTCATCAGTTTGATCAGCACCCGACCCCGGATAAGAGGAGGAAGATGGATGGATGTCCATAATATTATCCGTCTTACAAAGTCAGCTGTATAAACGATTGACATGTAATAAACTCAAGCATTAGTATTTATACGAATTCTTGTTTTCTTTTTGTTGTTGGGAATTAAATGCAAAAGTAGCAGATTTTATTACCTCATTAAACGGGAACACGCTGGTTTATACCGTGAAACTGAGTTATTCCGATATCGTGCCGCAATCCAATATACGGTTACGTACTGTTGAAATAAATTACAGTAGCTGCACTGTAAAATAAAAGTAAATAACTAGCATCTCTGCTGCCAGCAATTTACCATTATTTTACAGTGAAATTGTTTAGAGTGTAGGACATACAGAGAGGGTGCAGACAGACTGTAGCCCACCGCCTGGTTCCATCAGAAAATGAGGTCTATGAGACCACTGCTCGGCAGTCTGGTCTACTCTCTCCAAGAAGCTTTTGTAGTTAGTGTAACTAACTTGTGTGTTCTGCTCTAACCTGCAAAAAGAACCAGTTGGCAGTGAAGCGAGCCCCTCCTGGTGGTGTTAAAGAGGACTGCACTGCACTCTACCAACCATTGGAATTTAAACACGGATCTAATCTACCCATCAAGTCTGTGATGATCCGTCATTGCTCACTTCTCAGGAAGGGGAGAGCTAGAAGGAGCTGCTCACTGTGCACGAGCCATCAGAGAGCAGAATGTAACGTGTGAACAGAAAGACGTGTAATCTAAAGGAATGAAAACGCATTCATGTGAACAAGAAAATCAGACAGACATTGTTTAAGGGAATTAAAGTCTTTATTAGAATTTTAACATGTTTCTAAAGAGGAAATGATAAAACCAGACAGGTGTTTCTACAGAGGAATATTTTCGGTCTGACTCATAGTAAGTCAAGGGCAACAGTTCCATCTCGTCTCCTTGCTTGTTCTTTTGAAATATACATTAGCAGTAGCAGCCCTGGGCTCTGAGCAGAGCAGCCAGAGCTAAGGACATAAATATAGAAAACTGCTGTGTGCGCCCTGGAAGGTGTTTTGAAGGGGGGGGGTCAGGGTCAGATGAGGACTGCCGCTCAGTGGAGGGATGAGGTTACTCTGTGAGGCCCAGCTTCTTCTTCAGGGACTCCGGCATCTCAGGGGGAGGGGGGCGGGGCATGCGGAAGTAGACCTTGACAGAGTCGTAGATGAACCACTGCAGGGCGGTCAGAGTACCGATCATGATGATACGAGCCACCAGACCCTTCCAAACACCTGAAGAGGAGACAATCACCACATGAGACTGAGAGCGTACCATGTGAGGTCAATACAGCCTAACCCAGGAACTCATGTCAAGGTGTTAGAATCACTGAACTCATGCATGTTTTAACTACTATGTAGTGTCCGTCCCCCAGGCTTGCAGCACCAGGGGCTCCCTGCCTAGAGGACAGGGCTGCCAGTGCTGCAGGTGGGCTGGGGGGACAGGTAGACTGTTCTCACACGCCAATGACTCAAGCACCTCCAACTGTACAGCCGGCAAGCTGCTGAGGGGCTCTGCTCAGAGCACAGCGCCCTCCAGAGGTGGATCTAAGGAGCGTGTTGGTGGAAGCCTCATGGTACACTATGCTACTGCTCAAGTGACTGTGGACCGGTGTTGGTACAGACCTTTTGGTCCTAGCTTCTTGAGGACCTGGACAGCAGTGCTGCCGGACTCCTTGTTCAGCACGGACACCACAGAGTCAGCCGGGTGGGACACGATGGCACAGAACACACCAGCTGCACACAGAGAGGAAGAACATTTCATCAGAGAATTGGACTAACTTTATTGGGCCTGATGATTTGGTTTTGTAGGTTTGCAGTTGATCCGTTACTCACCGATATAACCGGCCACAAAGGTGACCACCAGCTGCTGAGATTTGGTGCACTCGCTGCGGGGCTTGGGAACAGCATACTTGTAGAGCATCTCCACGGTGCGCTCAAAGCAGGAAAACTTCATCATGGTGTAGGGGATCTGCCTCATCCACAGAGGCACCAGACCCTTATAGAATCTGGAGTGAAAGGAGGGAGGAGTGTGAGCTCAAGAAGCAGAACCATCTGCACCTCGATTCAGGGTCCTCCCTGCCATCATACAGCAGACTGAGGGTGCTGTGGTCCATGGACACCATGTTCACCACAGCACTGTTAAAAACACCTCAGCTTACACTCCAGTCGGGTCCCAGTGCCCGCTGTACGGGTGGGTGGTATATCATTAACAAGTGTGACGGGTATCACATGGTGTTTGATACCCGTCCGTGGGCTCAAAGGGCCTTTAATAAGTGAACTTGTCAACTAACCCATAAGTTGGCTGAAGGAGGCGTGTGCAACACGTCGAGGCATCTAGTGGCGAGGATGCCATCCAACTGAAACCCCCCCACTCACTCAACGTTATCCAAGAACTATGGCGGCCTTCTGTTAGGTATCTTTAGGATTTTATTAATACCATTATTGGTTCTTTTCATAGACTGTATATAAGAAGATGGCTATCGCCATCTTGACTTTTTTTGCACAAATGTAAAACGCAGACATCAGTGTCAGTCTGTCCCCGTTTGTCCTCCTAGTCTCTGCCAGCAAACAAGCTGATAAGAACCAACTAAGAGAAGCAGACTGCTGACAGACCTGCTTGCTGGTCGTGCCTGCTGTGCTTGTGTAACACAGTGGTGGATGAGAGACTGAGGACAGAGCAGATCTTCATGCATGTTGAACAGATGAAGTATTGGCTTTCTACTAACAAAGGTTTTATTGCAACGAGTGTAGTCGCCATCAAGTCTAGTAATCTTCGCTTCAGTGTCTCCACCACAGCTCTGCTCACCGTCTCTTCATGTGTTTGAACAAGTAAAAATCAGTTCATGATATCACTGATGAGTCTGGACTGCCTAATCAGTTCACCCTCATCACTCTAACCCCGAGTAGACTGCAGGGCCCACTGTGTGTGCATGTGCTCAGACACATAAGTATCAAATGTTTCACTTCAGAATCAACTCGTCTGATCGACTCTTCTGATCGGTGGCCCGTCGACCTGATCAGAATACAGCAATAAACTTCAAAGACAAAAGACAAGACATTTACAACAGAACATTACAACTGGATGACATGGAGCCCGTTCAGACAGCAGACTTAGTTAAGAATTAACATGAACAACAAATGGGCGTCGGCTATCGAAAGCAAAAAGAGAAAGTGATATCCCACAATGGAGACCCTGCATCAGAGCATTCTGTAAAGCAAAGAAAATATAACACGTTACACACACACGCAGTAACTATGTAGTGTCCGTCCCCCAGGCTTGCAGCACCAGGGGCTCCCTGCCTAGAGGACAGGGCTGCCAGTGCTGCAGGTGGGCTGGGGGGACAGGTAGACTGTTCTCACACGCCAATGACTCAAGCACCTCCAACTGTACAGCTGCAAGCTGCTGAGGGGCTCTGCTCTGAGCACAGCGCCCTCCAGAGGTGGATCTAAGGAGCGTGTTATCAGAAATCCATTCACCAATAATTCATCACTAAAGCAAAAACGCCTATCAGCGATTCAAAGTCACTCACTGACAGTGACAAAGAGGAATGCTGAGGAGCTGGAAGAAGGCAGCACACTTACGCCCAGACACCCTCCTCTGCAAACATCTTGGGGACACACTGTCTCAGGTTGTTGGCGTAGCCCGGCTTGGTCTGGATACGAACTTTGGCAGCCTCCATGGGAGCCAGAGCAATGTCTGCAAAGAACTCTGCGCTGGCTGAGGCAGCCAGGTACAGTGATGTCCTCCACAGGTAGGTGTTCTCCTGTCGAGTGAACCCACACAACAGACGGTCAGACAGGCTAGGTGTCATAAAAGCTACCGAGCACACCGACTAACCGCGAGGATTAATTAAGTGCGAGGTCTGCACTGGTCACTTCCCTAGGGGTGAGTATCCCCATACAGAGAGATCCCCTCGTGTGACCGGTCTTTTTAGAGACCACCGCTCAAACTTTTAGAACAAATATTGACTGTTTACTGTCGGAGCAGCCTTACTCTATGATTTACAGCATGCACACGCACGCACACACTAGATGTATCCAGTGCTACTCAAAAACAAATGCTATCAGGTCTACGTGGAGACCATTGGATTCCACTCGAGTAGAACAACAAAGATAATACTTATAGCAGACAGATGAACAAACATGCTGTCAGAGCACAGCTGCGTGTGGACTCACCTCTCCCAGTAAGTCGCCGTAGAAGACCTTGAACACTTCGTATAAGCCGAACTTGCACAGTCCCTGCATGGAGTAGCCGATGAAGGTGGGAGCCCAGCCCTTAGCCAGGCCCCTGACACCATCTTCCCTGATGGTCACTGAGAAGCCCCTGCTGATGCTCTTGTACTTATCTGGGTCCACCTGAGGAGGAGAATCAACACTGATGAAGCATGTCCCCCAATCACTGGCAACTCTGGTGTGTTGTGTAGATAAGTATATGCTGACGTGGTGAATAGCCACTAGTATGGGACAAGACTTGAGTGGTTCTTTTATTAGTTTAAGAGCCAAGCGCTTTGTTTGAAATCACATTTTCTAGACCGCAATTTAGAAATGTTTAACTATATTAGCTTAACAAACATCATTCATGTTACAGCCAATAGGTGATGTCAGGATGACCTATAGATTTGTACAAGTATGAAGCACTGGTACACAGGAGTCAGACAACTCCAAAACTTACTGAGGAAATATATGAGGAAGTATTAAAAAACTGGCATGAACTAACCACACCATGAGGCTGGATACAAATCAGCAGCTAAAGAGTGAATGGGGTTTTTCCGGGCATTGCCCATTGAAAGTGGCCTCTTCCTTGTTAACGAGTCATTTCCATGAAGATGGGACATGAAACCACGGAGCTGAGAGGCTGCAGGAGCTGTTGGCTACTCGCTGCTACTGTGAGGTTCAGCTTCCGTACAAACCTGCAGGCGACACTTGACAAGGTCGAGGGGCACCACTGCTGTGTGTGTGATGCCGCAGCTCAGGATACCCCCAAAGCCACACAGGGCATAGTACTTTGAGGAGCCAAAGGCGCAGCTGATATCCTCTGTGGTAGAAGGAGGGGACACACAGCGAACATGCAACATGCGGGGTCACATGCAGCACAGGACACAAATCAACACCAAACCAGAGCCACAGAATGGAAGAGTTGTCACTGCTGAAGGAACACTGCCAAACCATTGAGACCAGTTTGCCAATGTCCCTACTGTGGACAGTTCGACTCTCCCATTATAGATGTTCTGCCACCAGTTATTAGGATCACACAGCAACGGTTGATCAAATCATTGTACACAAGTGATTTCAGTATGAACTTTTTGGGACCACAGTGGTGTCGTGCAGGTTGGGCCATTCACTATAAAATAGTCTTATTAAATAAGTGCAGCCACAGATGTGTTGATAATGTGACTAGTGTATACACCGTGCTGCTATAAGATGCTACTGCAGGATCAAATGACCAGCAGCAACAACACTCACTTATTCACTGTTAATGCTGGCTGATTGACATCAACAAAGCATACAGTTTTCAGTCAGCTGGTCTTGGATCAGTAACTATGTAGTGTCCGTCCCCCAGGCTTGCAGCACCAGGGGCTCCCTGCCTAGAGGACAGGGCTGCCAGTGCTGCAGGTGGGCTGGGGGGACAGGTAGACTGTTCTCACACGCCAATGACTCAAGCACCTCCAACTGTACAGCCGGCAAGCTGCTGAGGGGCTCTGCTCAGAGCACAGCGCCCTCCAGAGGTGGATCTAAGGAGCGTGTTGGTGGAAGCCTCATGGTACACTATGCTACTGCTCAAGTGACTGTGGACCGGTGTTGTGCACGATTTGAGCATTTTCTGGCAGCAGCACAAGCTTATGGGATTTATATTCAATTGGCTAAAACCACAGATCACCACTGTGGTCCTACAAATATATGATCAAAATAATTTACTAAGAATAAACTTACCGTTTCGATAAAAGATTAGGAGCTATAAATGCATTTAATGACATCATTTATTTTTTAACATCACCATAATGCATGCGTCTGGACTAGCTAAGCCTGACAGTATAAGGTCAACAGTGTGTTAATGAACAATCATTAACTGATAATGTGACAACGGGTTTCATATCTCCTCTACATTTAGACAATTGAGAGACAGACGTCCTTGACTTTGTCAACATACAAGACATGTTCTCCCTCAGGCCTGGCACTCCTGACTTTCACCTCCACGGTGACTGGGTGGGTCCAAATCATTCAACACAGGAACACTGGTGCAGAATCATGCAACCATGTTATGATCACTCCAACACATTGGAATCAGTACTCAATGACAAAAGAAACAACTTCACAACGGGGCTGATGATATTTCTCCCATGCAAATTGGTGCGTTTTGAGGACAAACAAAAATACAGCCATGGGTGGATGGGGCGTGACGTTAAAAAAAAAAAAAAAGGCGCCGAGCCACAGAAACAGACCTGCAATCTGCATTTGACCAGATCAAGGGGAACGACAGCAGTGTGTGTGGTACCACAGCTCAGAATCCCACCAAAGCCGCACAGCAGGAAATACTTCTGAGAGCCGAACTCACAACTGTCCCCCTCTGAAGAAACACAGGGGAAACGTTTAGAACAGGACGCGTTGGGGTTTAGAGAGGACGACACTTTCTTTGAGTCTTTAGATGACTACTGTCTACGACTTTAAAGAATTGAACTGGTTTAATGTTGGCTGTGCCCTCAATCCAGGTAGATGTTTGACAAGCCAGAGCTTATTTTAGCAGCCTCACCCTCATGAAACTAGTTTGAACACAATTGAAATGAATCACTACTGTTACCTAGCCAGCTGTGCTTTAAGGATGAAAACGTATAAATGCAAGGGACAAACACTAAATAGTGGAGGAGCATTATGAAATGACTACATGGACCATTTTTGACTTTCACAGCGTTCTTTAACAAATGGACTGCCTTAATGGTAGAGGTGAAGAAGTTTAATACTTGTGGCTGAAGCTTGTTGGGCAATGGAAACTTGTTAACAGAAACCACGAGGGCAGAGACTTACATTTGGTGGACGGTTGAGCTGTGTAGTGAGGTCATGTTGGTGCCTTTGAATCAGTCAAGACAATCTGTTCTCAGACCTGAGCTGCTCAGTCAGGGGTCACATGTATTTCTCGACCAGTTTGGCTTTATGGAAGTCAATTACTAAAGCTCCACTAAAAACAGTTGCATTCCTTTTGCATACACTATATGTAATTAAGCGCAACACGTCAAATACAGTTCGCTGCAGTTCAGAGGCAAGATATCACTTTGTCCTTCCTCGTCCTCCACAGGCTGCCTGAATGCAGAACGGGCCTCTCAGCTAACTGCCTCAACGTCAAACTACGGATCCTTCCGAGCGATTTTAATCATTTAACGATACCGTAGAAACCACACACAGGCAATCGTACTTTACATTAACTAGATCTATGCTGTTTTACACAGCTAAGCTGGTCGCAACCAGGGGAACCTAGTCGGCTAAGCTAAGGCAGCTAACGCTAGCCCATTAGCCGTCCTGCGGACTCGGCGCCGGAGTTACCTTCTGCGGTAGCGGCTGCTGCCAGTCTGCGGGTCCTCTGTCCGTGGAGGCTCTGTTGAGGTTCTTCCACTTTCTGGAGGGAGAACAGGGGAGCGCTGAACGGGTTGCCCCGGGCCAGCTGGGTCAACGTGGTCGGGTACATGTTGGTGTCCTTCCTGCTAGCGGAGCTACGCTGCAATGAGCAACAAGTCAGCTGTGCGTTGGCTTGAGCTAAATGGCAGATGTGACTGGTAACACACGCACGCGCGCACACACACGCACACACACACACACAGACACCTAAATTGAGGGATGCTAAGTCACGTGCTGGTTAGCTTGGTTTAACGTCCGAATGAACGCAAATGCTTAGCTAGCTTATTGAATGAACACACATTAGCAAACACTACGCTACAAACACGAGCATGTAACGCTCATGCAAGTTACTGGTCCATCACTGTAACACCCTTCTTAAACTCAAACTGCCTACTTACACACGCATGTAACATTTCCTTGTCCCTTTCTAGCATAGCAGATGCTAAATGCTAGGCTAAAATACGTGCTACGCTAACTTGACCGCTGCAAGTTGGAAGGTCCAATTTTAACAGAAGGTTAAAGTAGCATTCACTAAACGGCTAACATAAGTCACCGTTCTGTAAAATCATCATCCATAAAGAAGTGTCAACGTTTCATATGGACCATTTGTTTTAAATGAATAACTACACTCACTCTGTGTCTTAAGATGGCGCCTCCGCTGAGCTGCAACCGGCTGTTCGGAGAGGCCGAATGACCTCGCGGTAAACTGATTTGTCCTTTCGTGACGTCGGCGAACAGCCTGGGCGGGTACGTCCGCCTCTCTGTCCCGAGAGAAACCGCCGCAGAGCTGCCAATCAACACCTCTGGTCCAATCACAAGATTGACCCGTGATTCATTAAGGCGGTGCTTGTAGGAACTTGTCTACAATTATTGAGAAAATACTTTTTCTAGCACTTCAAATGATCAGAAACAGTTTTTCTCGGTCCAAATGTATGACATTTACTTTGAAAGATCTGTGGTGGAAAAGCAAACATGAATCAAAGGGCCACTGAAGCACCATGGGTTTGGGTTTTGCGCAGGCAAAATCATGCATTGTCCAGACGGGATCCTGTGTTTCTCATGATTTATTGAACAAAACCAAACAAACAAACTCCTGCTCTGGTAGAGAAAAACATAGGCCCACCCTGGTGCATGCTGGTCCTGTACCTGCATATAACCACAGGTATATATATATATATATATATATATATATATACCCTGAAACAACAAAAAAATAATTAAACTAAACGAATGACTATCATATATCAAAAAATCTAACCTAAACAAGCAAACATGTAATTAATAATAATAATGAAACAATACGACTTATGAATAAAATAACGTAATACCAACATCAAATAATGTTTTACATTTTAATTAAGGCTGTAGTCAGAGATCTCCTGAACTCATATGTGTAACCAAGTGGAACTGACGGGGTGAAACTATGGGGTCCGCCGGACCGGTAATGAGGTGCACGGTCCTGATTAGGTGAAAGGATGCACCTGCTGGCAAATCGCGTCCTTTGTCTTTGGCTCCGCCGCCACAAGCGGGGGGTGCTGAGTCCAACTACTTGCTCTCCCGCAACAAGCGGAGACGTAGCGTGAGGCCGCATAAGTTGCGTCGGTAGCGCAGTGTTTGGGAGGCATCAGTTACGGAGGGGACAGCGTGTGTTTGGGGGATGGCTGATTCAGGTGTATATATATATTTTTATGCATTTCATGTGCTGGGGAAATTGGGTACAATTAAGGAATATGTAATGTTGTATTTGTTTTTTAGAGCTTCCTGAGCAGTGCACCCAATGGTAGCTGGGGGGGAATCCAGGTGGGGGTGGCTGGGTTGAAGTAGAATCTGTTGTTTGTTTTCTGTTTATTGGCAGTTATTCGTGATTACTTGTGTTTTCGTCTTTATTTCTTTTCTAGTTAGTGGGACGCTGCCTTGGTCTGTTTTGTTTATTTTGCTTTAAGTTGTTTGTGATGCCGATCTGAGCGCATGGTCTGTGAACTCCTCCTGCCCGCTAAACCAGCTGTCACTGGTTACTCCACCTAGTTATTTATACCAATAAAGTATTTATATTTTCACAACACTGCTTCCTGTGTGTACGAGCCTGTATGGTGTTTTGAACCGGGTCTCTGTGGTAACGGGGTGCTACATATGCATTACTCGTCTGGAATTATTGATGTATATATGATTTTTATGGCACCTCAAATATTCAGAAATGAGCTTTTTGAATGTAGACCCAGGGTCTCCGTGTCTCCTGGAACACTTGATGGAGCCGAGTCATCATTAACCACATTTGTTTCAGTATGAAGAATATGAAAATGATCTTGCAGAAACTTGCTTTGTTTAGGTACTAACCAACCTCTATTTGTATCAGAAACATTATTACAGTGCGCTAATGCAGTTGCTGCATTCAGTTCAGTACCACACAGGAACATCACTGTGACAAATAAGCATTCATTCTTTTTTTCTTTACAGTGAAAGAAAGAGATGAACAGCGGTTTGTAGGGAAAAGCACATTCAGAAATCTAAACTCTGTGGTAGGCCCAGTAGCCTATAGAGCGCCGATGTGTTTCAGTCAAGTTAAGACAAGCAACACTGCCGCACCACTTTGGATTGAGTCGGACTCTTTGGAAGTGCTAGTAGTCAGTTTAGATGCGGTATGCAGCTCAGGACCAGCGCTGTGGGTTTGTGCTGCCTGAAGTCGTCGCCATGAAGTACGTCATGGTCTCCTAACCTGATGCATTTACTGCTAATCAGACCACAAATGAAACATCACTCCCCACATGTTACATCAAAGTCCTGGCATGCTTTGTATTTAGGTGAGAATTCCCATGAAGATCAAAAGGTGTGACAGAGACAGGTTAGAAGTTACAGACTCGGAGGTCTAACAGAAGAAACTCAGGTAAATTGTCTCATCAGAAAATGTGAAAATGTATTGAAGTTGTTCATGAATCAAATGCTCTTAAAGACACTAACATTAGTTTATTGAGTGGATATTCAATATTTGTGACAATGAATACATAATTAAGTAGAATACACAGGGATGTTCAATTATTAGAAGAGAGAGAAAATATTGATGTAGGGTTTAGGAAGATTTAGGATTATAATAAGCCTCCCTGTCTCATGAACAATGATGGTCATGTGAGGTTCAAACTCCATCCTCAAGGCTGTTAATGACAGAGACACTAAGGCAAAGTGTGGAGCTAAACCTCAACCACACACATTCAGTACAAACACACGCATACAAAATGAACGCAGTAATAAAAAGTGAGTCCACATGTTTCTATGACTGGCTCTGTTGTCACCTCACCGACTGTCAAACATGTTCTTTCACAACAGGTCATGGACATCCTTCAGAGTCACTGAAACGCTACGTTGCTTCTCTTAAGGGATGCGCTGAGAATCGATATAAAAGGAGAAGAGAGAAACTGTTGAGGGAAACAGGGCGAAGATGTCGGGTCATTTCACAGCACCGGGGGATAAAATGGCTACAATACAGATTCACACTTGAAAAGACAGAAGCAGGCGGGCTTCTGTGCCCTCAGACGCTTCCTGAGCTCTCTATGCTGCGCTGCCACCGGCCACCTCTGTGTCTGGGGCTGTAAAAGGGTTGATGGTGTTGGTCTCCATGGCCTGGTACACCAAGAACAGGAAAGCAGCCAGGATGGCCAGCAGCAAGAGCTTTATCCACAGAGACACGCTGCGGTACGCTGCCTTGGTCTGCCCTGCAGGGGGCGCTGCAGACAGAAGCCTGGAGGAAGAGGAGGGAGGGGGCAGGCTGCTGACTCTGTTGACAGTGCAGCTCTCTGTGTAGGAGGAGGAGGAAGTGGCTGTCTTGGTGGTCTTTGTAGAGAAGAGGTGGTTTTCATCATTCCACAGGTCACTGGAGGTCACTGGGCGACGGGCAGCTCCTCTAATGGGTCGCCGGCAGGTGGCGCTACGAGAGACAAGGATTTACACTCATGGTTTTCTGAGGGAGACATCAACACGGCAAACTATGACGAATACAGAAGAGATCCGTCCCTGTTTTAGTTCAGGTCCGTCATCATGACGTCATGACGGCTGCAAACATGCACTTTCATAGTCTCAGCAACAGACATACAGTTGTGTGAAAAAGTGTTTGCCCCCTTCCTGATTTCTTATTTTTTTGCATGTTTGTCACACTTAAATGTTTCAGATCAAACAAATTTAAATATTAGACAAAGATAACACAAGTAAAAACAAAATGCAGTTTTTAAATGAAGGTTTTTATTATTAAGGGAAAAAAAAAAATCCAAACCTACATGGCCCTGTGTGAAAAAGTGATTGCCCCCCCTGTTAAAACATAAATTAACTGTGGTTTATCACATCTTTGGAAAGCTGAGTTCAATTTCTCTAGCCACACCCAGGCCTGATTCCTGCCACACCTGTTCTCAATCAAGAAATCACTTAAATAGGACCTGCCTGACAAAGTGAGGTAGACCAAAAGATCCTCAAAAGCTAGACATCATGCTGCGATCCAAAGAAATTCAGGAACAAATGAGAAACAAAGTAATTGAGATCTATCAGTCTGGAAAAGGTTACAAAGCCATTTCTAAAGCTTTGGGACTCCAGCGAACCACAGTGAGAGCCATTATCCACAAATGGCGAAAACATGGAACAGTGGTGAACCTTCCCAGGAGTGGCCGGCCGACCAAAATTACCCCAAGAGCGCAGCGACGACTCATCCAAGAGGTCACAAAAGACCCCAGAACAACATCCAAAGAACTGCAGGCCTCACTTGCCTCAATTAAGGTCAGTGTTCATGACTCCACCATAAGAAAGAGACTGGGCAAAAATGGCCTGCATGGCAGAGTTCCAAGACGAAAACCACTGCTGAGCAAAAAGAACATAAAGGCTCGTCTCAGTTTTGCCAGAAAAGATCTTGATGATCCCCAAGACTTTTGGGAAAATACTCTGTGGACTGACGAGACAAAAGTTGAACTTTTTGGAAGGTGTATGTCCCATTACATCTGGCGTAAAAGTAACACGGCATTTCAGAAAAGGAACATCATACCAACAGTAAAATATGGTGGTGGTAGTTTGATGGTCTGGGGCTGTTTTGCTGCTTCAGGACCTGGAAGACTTGCTGTGGTAAATGGAACCATGAATTCTGCTGTCTACCAAAAAATCCTGGAGGAGAATGTCCGGCCATCTGTTCGTGACCTCAAGCTGAAGCGCACTTGGGTTCTGCAGCAGGACAATGATCCAAAGCACACCAGCAAGTCCACCTCTGAATGGCTTAAGAAAAACAAAATGAAGACTTTGGAGTGGCCTAGTCAAAGTCCCGACCTGAATGATTGAGATGCTGTTGCATGATCTTAAAAAGGCGGTTCATGCTCGAAAACCCTCCAATGTGGCTGAATTACAACAATTCTGCAAAGATGAGTGGGCCAAAATTCCTCTACAGCGCTGTAAAAGACTCATTGCCAGTTATCGCAAACGCTTGATTGCAGTTGTTGCTGCTAAGGGTAGCCCAACCAGTTATTAGGTTTAGGGGGCAATCACTTTTTCACACAGGGCCATGTAGGTTTGGATTTTTTTTCCCCCTTAATAATAAAAACCTTCATTTAAAAACTGCATTTTGTGTTTACTTGTGTTATCTTTGTCTAATATTTAAATTTGTTTGATGATCTGAAACATTTAAGTGTGACAAACATGCAAAAAAATAAGAAATCAGGAAGGGGGCAAACACTTTTTCACACAACTGTAAATAAATATATTGTGAGCAGCTTCCAGAAGCAACTCAATGTTTCCAAATGAAAGCATGAAGGGACATGGAGGTCACACTACCGGGCTCACTTACATGTTGACCATGTTATTAAAGACTCTGTCCCTTCCTTCATGGCAGTGCAATACTAACTCGAGTGTCTGTAATTTAAAATAAATAAATACATCTTGTCATCTCTTTGTGAAGCTGTCAATTGGAATGTTTAAATGCCATACAAAAATACAGTTATCATAAAGTGACTATTTGACTGCTGGTGTTTAGACATCAAAAAGACATAAAAGATAAAAACATAAAAAGAAATAAGTGCTGAGAACCACTGGTTCCTTACGTGATTCCTGTTGGACTGTTGATGTCACTGTGGAACAGCTCCTTCAGAACTTCCTTCTCCACTTTCGGGGTTTGGTCGCTGGCTGCTATCTTCTCCACCTGACAGAGAAGCAGCATGGAGAGCACGATTACTCCACTGGCCTGAAGAAGCACGCTTGGACCAGCAGAGGGCGCCCTGCATGACATGACACACCTCTCACCATGCTGACTACTGAACCACCTCATGAATGTGACACAGTCCTTTCCTCTGCATGGCCCGACCCCCTCGCTTCAGCTACCGGCTCCTCTCTGTTTAGCAGAGGGCACCGGTGTAAGCGGGACTCAACTGATCGCCATAGCGACACCTTGTCATACTGACCAATCAGTGGTCTGCAGGGTCTTAGGTCCGCCTTCTAGCCTGGGCTCAGCTCGCTGACAACCAAAAAGAGTACCAGGTACTATCCACATATTGCTGCTAGTGGAAAACCAAACTAGAGCGAGTGGAGTAGAACCATGCAGCGCAGCAGTCTACCTGTCTCACTGACACGTCCTCACAGAGAGGACGAGCAGCTGAGCGTCCTCACAGGGCTGCATGTGGACAGGAAGCTGGGGACTTTCTGGAGGGACACAAACCATGTGTGTGACCGTGTTCTGCTTAACCAGCCAACAGGTCAGCGGTCACACATGTGACCAGCTGAGATTTAACAACCCCACACCGTGAACCAACGGCTGTGTACCCACACACAGCGCACCAACCACATACAAGCGTCAGCAAGAGGGGACAGGAAGGAGCAGCTGTACCCATGCTACAGAGACACCGGCAGCCTTAGATCCAAACTGGTCCAACAGAGACCAGTAGTGCTCTTGTCTCTTAATGGGGGAGATGTTACACAAGGGGCTGAAGGGGACCGGACCCACTTTGGGGATCTGAGCCAGAGGGGACGAAGGCCTGGATGGCTCGACAGCCGGTTGTGGACTCGGTTTAGTACAAGTCAAAGAGCCCGCCTGAAGAACACAAGACTAGATTATTAGAAACATGTTCAGGGAAAAGGAAGAGCTTGTTATTATACCAACTACGCTGTTGAAATAGTTTTAGTGATGAATTCCATTGTGATACAAATTCACTTCTACGCACCCGAGCTGGTCTTAAAGGTTCAGTCCTTGTCTCAGGTTCCTGAGACACCAACACAAATACACAAGATCAAAGACAATGAATCCCTCCACCAGGTGTACAGCAGCCACTCTTCACAAGTCCACGTCAGTGCATCTGATGGACAGACGCCACCTCCTTCATCAATGCAGCCTCTATGCTGTGAGACCTAAACTCCGCCCGGATCACATCTATCTGAACTTCCCTGTAGACTCCCATTCACCAGGACTCTTCCTGAGCGTGTGCATATTTGATTCTGATGTTGCAGTGTTTGACTGGCTGCAGCACTAAACTAACAACAAAGCCTGTGTGAGCCTTTAATCCGGGCAGAGTGTGCGTGAGCGTCGTTCACCACCTGACAAGACACCATTTCCCACAATTCATCACCAGTGAGCTTATCTGATTAGCCGTGACTCAAGATAATGTAGACATGGTGAATGTGATTGGTGAAGACAGACGGTGAATAGAAACAGGCTCACCTCCAACAGAGCCGTGTTGAGCAGAGTGGCCGGCTGCTGACATGAGTCCTGGTTGGCTTTGGGGAGACTCAACCCCACGTCTTCCACTCTGAGCTACAGGTTCCAATCACAAGCACACAACTTCTTTTAGGATTCTAACAACTGGATTTGAGATTCAACCATCATGCAAAGCTGGTTACACCTCAGTATGCGTCCAACAAAGTGCTGGTCAGAACATGGAACAACGGGCTGACTCTGTGAAGTAGTCACTGTGAGCATCAGCACCTGGTGATGGGCCCAGTGTGTGTTCTTAGTGCTGGCTGCGTCTGGTGTGACTTCATACTTTATATTTATACATCCAGTGTATTTATGATCTAAGTATTTACTAAAGCATAGTGTAACATAGTCTATTTTGATGCAATTGCTTTGTACTTTAACTTGTGTAACATGTAGACTAAGTAGCAAAAGTCATTCTGCACAATCACCCTCTTCAAACAACACCGTGACTAAAACAGTTATTCGTTACATTTTCCCAGTTGTAGGTAAAACATGGCGAGCTGTTGTTTTCAATGCAAGATGTGTTTGGGATGGTTCCAGGACGGCGGTTAGTTTGGAGCTTTGCTCTCCATTAGCGTCTCACTTAATGTGATGTCATCTATATGTTATTGTGAAAGTACAGCCTCAGCTCAACAGGTGCATGTTCACAGTGAGACCAGCAGGAGGAGCTGTCAGTCACCACAGCGTTACATAAGGGAGGAGTTCACACTGTTACAGGATCAACTGGAGAGAGCACAATAACTGGACAAAGAGGAGCCTAATCCGCACTATGTGCTGTGAGTGAAGCTCTACACTCACCGGCCTGCTTAAGGACATATCATATTACATATTCACAGTATTATATCACCCTTCAGAACATGTGAGTGACAGTGGAGACTCATGTGGTTACTTTTAAACTGCACAGTCCAGTTTTCAATGTCAGCTTATTACAAAAGCCTTATTACTTCATTATTATTTTCTATTGATTAATCTCTCCAATATTTTATCTTAGCGATACATTTTCGTCAAAAAAATGTCCTTTCATTGAGTCAAACTTAAGGCCTGTCCTTGTTTCATGCAGCATAAATCAAGAGATATTGTGACGATGGACCGACTCCAGTGTTGCTCGACAAGGCCTAAGAACACTCCAGTTGTGTGTCTGCAGCAGAAAACAATAATTAAAAAAGAATAATTACATGCGTCAATTAAAAATATTGATGTCATGCATTTTCAACGACAGCCCCTGTCAGTGGTACAAGTTCCGCTGCATATTGTTATTTTAGTGCTTTGGGATCTTCTAGATCTTCAGGGAACCATGACATAACTCAACACATTTCATATCTAAACATCATCATAAGCTGTAGCTGAGGCTGCAGTAAAGTCTCATCCTGGTCCTCACTGTGTCTTGAGTTAGGAGTTTGAATGAATGCATGTCATGCTATGTGGTCTGGGTCTTCTTCATCTCCAGGTTAAGGCGGGACATTTAGTCACTCTGCAGACGTCACATATTGTAATATCTAATCCACCTGTTAAACTCACACTAAAGCTGCAACCATTCAAATTAATCTCCAAATATTTAGCGAATGGATTCATGTTTAGATCCGTCTCCAGCCTCTTGAATGTGGATATTTGCTGGTTCTTTACTCCTCTATGACAGTGAAGTGAATGTCTTATGGACAAAACAAGAAGAGGGCTTCACCTTTTCCTGACATGTTATACACCAAACAACTAACCGATTAATGGAGAACATGATGGAAGGATTCATCGACAGTGAAAACACTGGTTAGTTGAAGTTTTACAGAACACTTTCAGAAGCAGCAAACTGCAGGCGGCTAGAATGGAAAGCACTGCTCTGCTGTTCTGTTCTGTTCTGTTGGGTCTTTCTGGTGAAGAGAACGGGCTTCATCTGCATTTCTTTGATCATCCCTGTGTTGCATTATGACAATAAATCATCCTTGAATACTTGGGTAAAAACAAGCAGACAAAACAAAGAAAGTGCTGAGCAGGAAACCTACAGCTGGTCTGTTCAGGTCAACATCCAGACTACTGCCATCATAGAGATCTAGAGAAGAGCACGGCTAGCTGAACCACATCCCATCAGCACTGAACAGGCTCAGGACCCCTATGAGGACAGCCCAGCATCGCTCCAGCAGGTGTGCATGTGGAGGTCTCCAGAGAGGTAATCCTCTCTTACCGTGTGGTGCTGGCTGCTGCGGGTGCGGGTGGTGACGGGAGTCTTCCCTCTGCTCCTCACCGGTCTCTCCACCACTGGAGCTGGTTCAGGTTCTGCCACAGGTTCTGGTTCTGGTGTCACTTCTGAAAAAACACAGTACAGTGTTACTTGAGGGATTGTTTTTCAGGGAGCAGCGGGCGCCTGTCATGGGCAGCCCACTGCTCCCTGATACAGGGATGGGTCAAATGCAGAGACAAATTTCCCCCTTACCGGGATAAATATAGTATAATAATTAGTGCTGGGCAACGATTAAAATATTTAATCGAGATTAATCGCGATTAATCGCATTGTTATGGCAAAGTTCAATAATGAATTCAAAAGTAGTGCGCACTTTTATTTTACAAGTACTGCTATATGAACAAAAGGGCAATAACATTTGGTTCACAAGATGCAGGTAGCATGTTTTATACTTAATGTGAATATAATTCATACTTTGTTGGCATCTTATTCTGAAAACCGGATGTTCGTCTGAAGAAACCGGATGTTGTCTCACGTTAATCTTTCCGTTAACTTTCAAAGTCCTTCGCTCGCTCCGATCTGCGCCGTTTGAATGCGTTTACCGTGAATGTCAGCATATAGGTGCACTAACATGTAAGTGTCTGCTGAGTTGACCGCAGTCTCGCAGTCACAGGTCTGATTAAGAAGCGCTCCATTTATTTATTCGTTTAGAAAGTTCGGTTCTTCACGCACACGCAACATCAGTCAAGGCGAAAATCAAAACCATTCTATGCCAACTGGACCGGGTCATATAGGCTACGATGTTTTTGACAAGTTCATTAAATTATCATTATTATTAGAGGAAATTATGGGCAATTTTTCCCCCTCTCCTAGTGATATCAGGGGCAACATTATATTTCTTAGGGGCAGTTTTGCCCTCGTGTATTTCCGACGCTGACCGTGACGATTATTAAAAGCGGTAAATGAAGCGCACTACGAGACAAAGCACAACTCTTTGAACAAACGTACCCACTCACATCTAAATGAAGACACAGAAAATAAACCTGAGAGCCCAAAATGATCAGAATCACAACTCATGAATTCACTGTTCAACAATGATGTTAACAGAGAATAGAGCTGAAACAAGTGGTTTAATAACCACAGATAAAGTCCATGATCACTGATTTGTCTTGTTAGAAGATGAGACAAATATAATATTGTGTCTTTTTTATTGACATCACTTCACACCTGAATGAACTGAATTTAAAGCTGCAGGACAATTCAGTGAAATAGATTTTTCTAAAATTAATTAATTAATTTTAAGATGCACTTCTTCATTTCTTCAAAAGCTTTCTGTTTTGTCAGTTATTCTTTAATGCAGCCCTTATTGTACTTGAAATGAGAAGAACATTTATTTATGTATTATTTATAATCCATCCAGTTACATTTGAAAACTGAGAATAATAATTGTTAAAATATAATTGATGTGTACTTTCTTTATTTGATTTGACAGTTGTTGACGACACAGACACGTTACTACTACTAGACTTCTTGAATATATATAGTTTTAATACCCCTGCTGTACATGGACATACTTTTCAGTAGGCCAACATTTTTAATTGGTCTTATGTAATATTCAAATTTTGTGAGATACTGAATTTGGGTTTTTTACTAGCTGTAAGCCATAACCATCAAAATTAAAAGAAATAAAAGCTTGAAATATATCACCCTGTGTGTAATGAATCTATATAATATATGAGTTTCACTTTTTGAATTGAATTACTGAAATAAATTAACTTTTCGATGATATTCTAATTCATTGAAATGCACCTGTATTGCACTTCTAGAAAGCTTCTCTAACCATTCCTGCTAAGTGAACCTGTAAGCCACCATGGAGTCCAGCATATCATCAGGAGCCGCGAACGCTAACACGTTTCTTACCATCCTCCTTGTCACTGTACAGGTCGGACTCAGAGTTGCCGTTGTGGTTCACTTGTATCTCTGTGAGAAGCAGCTTTGGCGGCTGTGCAGGACCGTCGTCCAGCATCCTCTGCAGCTTCTTCTCATACAGCTTTCGGGTGGATGCTGAGGGGACGAACAGAGGGAGACATTCATCAAACCTGCACCAGATGTCCTGACCGGTCAACGTGCGTTTGCAGACGCATCACTTCTGGAGACTCCCTGAGAGGAAGAGCCCACATGGCTCGCCTCAGAACTACATCAAGGGACTGTTTTCTGTCTGCATTTACACTGCCAATAAACTAACCGTAAACCATACCATCAGCAAACATGTCTAAGCCACTTGTGAATTTCATCACTGTGTAGCAAAGACATACCAAATCCCTGTGTGTGTTTGTGTGTGTGTGTGTGTGATGCATCCGTGTGCTCATTCTTCCTGCTAATGTGAGCACTCACCCAAAATGGGCCCCACGTCCACTCCGTGCTTTAGCAGCTCGTCCCTCAGGCCCTCGTCGGTCAGCATGGTGACATCCATCTCGTCGGGACGGACCTTGTCCGTTTTCCTTGTGGCTTTCTGTGGGAAGAGGACATGGCAGCCCGGTCAGTAATGGTGCACTGTATTCTTAAAAAAAGAACTGTCATGGGTTTGTTTTTGACCTAAGTTAATGTAATCAGGAAATAATGCATCAAGAGTGAGCAGCAGTGTTCTGCCGGCCAAGATAACACAATGCTTATGTGACGATCTTTTAAAGCCCACACCTTCACCTCTTGTCCTGAAGAAGTCCATCTCCTTTGATCTTTTTGGGGATGTTGGAATGATGGGATGGCTCTATTTGTTCAAGCATTGGGAGGGACAGTTCACACCCATACGTGCCTTTAGCCTGCTCAGAGGAGAGCAGTTTGCATCATGATCTCTGAACATAAGTGGAGGCATGTGTGCCATGTGTATTCATGATTCATCACACAAACACATGATGTGGAAGAGAAGCTTTAACTCGAGGAGTTTCCTTTCATTTCCCGGTATGAAGTGAAGCCAGGGAGAAAAGGAGGAGAGGAAAGCTGCAGGCGTGTCATGATAGTAAACAACATGCAGGCAGGAAATCAAGCCCGTCTCTGAGGGAACACAGTGTGCACAGGAGGGCCTCAACACTAATTTGCCCAAACCGAAAATATCCGCTTATATTTGAGTAATTAAGATGCTATGCAGTTATACTTCAGCTTACTAATGAAAATGAGCATCAAAGATCACTCTGGCTGTGATTACATCCTCTTCTGGTTTCACTACGCCGACTATAAGCTAAGCTTTACCGTCTGTGTCGCCGCGTGCCGACGTACAACTATCATGTGGCGACACACGTGTGTAAATGTGACCGGCAAAAAATATGAAAGGGACGATCAGCTGAAAACCAGTCCGTTTGGATCGGTCAGCACGGTGCAGTCACCCTGTCCTTACTATACTGTGTTTGTGGGCCCATGTTTTGATTCATTGATGGATTTCTTCATCACACCTCAGCACGTGAGTGAAACAGGTGAGATGTAGACAAGGTCAATAGGTTCAAAACACATACACAGCAGTGTGTGAGAGTTTCAAACAGCTGTAGATGCAGATCAGCTTCACTAAACACGTCTCAGTGTTAGCTATGTGAACAAACCACCTACCCATCAGCTGGGTGCTCCAACCAGACTGGAGCTGGAACCACTGAACAGATGGGAGAGTAATACTTGCGTTTGATATACAAGTAGAAGACTTTCAGCTCCTTTCTCTCTCCAGCCAGCTGCCACCTTATTTAGGTTTAACAGTGAAATGATTGAAACGGGGGAAGTTAAAATGAGGAGTTCAGTACAGAGCGAGCACCAGGAATAAACATAAAGTCCAGATCAAACGGCTCTGTGCAGGGCTGCGAAGATGGCGGCAGTCAGGACCCGGTGCCATGGACTTACTGCAGAAAAATAGATATTTGAAAAGTTCGAAACAATGTGGTTTTTTGGTAAAGAATATTCAAAGGGCATGTTTGTACATGCTGAAAGTTAACATGCCCGAGAGCTTCAGACTCATGGGAAGCAAGAGACAATCATCCTTTTCTTATCTCTACATGTGGACACACTGCGACATGTCTCACTTTAGTCAAAAACATAAAAAGCTACACCACAGTAAAAGCCATAGTCAAGTCTTTCTGTTAAAGGCTTTTACTTTGAAGCAGCTACAGGAAGTGCGCAAAGACGTAATACAAAGATGCTGCATTACAAACTCACCAATGGTTTGAAATGGTGTACCCTTCCTGTCTCCTTGGTGGGCGTGGTCATGACACGTTTGAACGGAGGAAAGAAATATAACTCTGGAGTCAGCTACTCGTGCATTTTACAACTGTTAGGACCTAATGGGTTAAATAAGAACTATTCAAGGGTTCATACTGGGAAGTCCATTTACCTCTAAAACTGTAATTCCTCCATTTGGCCACTAGGTACAGTTAGTTTCAGAGCCAGGCCCTTTTCCTGGGGGCTTGTCTCATCCCTCCACCTCGTTTGGAAATGTTTGGAACATTGTGTGGATGGACAAAAACAGATTGGGATATATTTAGATCCTATATTTCTTTCCTAAAATTAGATATTTACACAGCTAACAGCCATATTAGCTGCTAGGATGTTAGTAGAGCGCAGTGGCGGCCGTGCATTTTATACCTGGGCCTTTAGTGCTGTCCTGCAGCTGAAACACCTCCTAATAATCTCATTATGGGTACATCCCAAGTCTCTTAATTGCATCCCCGTTTCCTTCACTTGGGTCCTTTCCTTGCGTCTTAGTCCCTCCCACCAGGGATGCATGGAGGAAACCATGC